TAACATGCATAATTTCACACCTGTGGTTAATCAGCTATTATTTCAATACTTGCAAAGTCATTTGCCTTAGCATTTAGTCATAATGCACGAATCTAAGTTAACAAAATCAAAGAACAGCAACAGCTCATCTAATCCTTCTTTATATTCCTTCATGATCAGAAAGATGCATAGAAGAGTTCTTTAAAGAGCCAAAATAGATTGACATATAAACTGTCAACTTATTTTTAAAGCAGTATGAAAGCAACACTTCTGAGAAAATATTTAAACCAAGGTCACACTTTAGAAAAACAGAATTCTTAATTCAGGCTGTCTTCGCTTTTAGCCATTTGGCATTCTGCTCCTTTTTAAACTTTATATTGCCCAACAGAGAGTGTTTTTTTGTGTTTTTTTTTTGTAGTTTTTCAGTTTGCTTTGTTGTGGTTTTTTTGTTTTGTTTTGTTTCATTTTGTTTTTTACTGCTTTTGGAGATGACCCAACAGATGCCTATTCAGCTAGAGTTTTGCCTAAGATCAGTTTGTTTTTAAGATAATCTTTTGTTACATTTTTATGAACTATTGGGGAGTACTAACGATTAAGTTGGGGTTATTTCTTTAAGAACTGAATATACTGGAGATGTATTTGATAGGCAAGACTTTAGATAAGTTTTCACCAGAATTATTTCTATTAGCAAACTGAAAAATATTACAGGCTATCAAATAATAATAAACACATTTCTTAAATATGAAGCCTTTAGAAGAAAGACCATATTTTGTTACTGCTTCTGTAGAAGTGTTATTGTTTGACAGGATGGTAATGTGACCTTTCACTCAACTACTACTACTCCCTTAATATGAAAAAGGGACAGAATGAGCTGCAGAAGGAAAACTCCACAGTTACACTCCACAATTTCGAACATACTGAGAGACATCTTGGTTTTCGCAGTGTGCTTTCCATGCCACCCTGTGGAGAAAAGTGAAATAAACACTGGTAAGGTTAAAACATATCTTCCTTGTAATAGATACACTTCAAATCCTCTGGGAGAACAGAGTGTTTTACCGGTAAAGGGACAACAGGCTACAGATAGATTCAAGTATTGTTATTTATTAAAGGGAGGTATGTACACCAAGTATGTCGCTTCCCCTCAAAGCCCTCACTAGAGAACAGGATGCTGAACATGAACGTTGATCTATGCATTCTATAATAGCGACTGCAAAGTGCTTTCTACATTTACTTAACTCCGAAAGTAATTTCAAGATAAGACAACGAACTGGTAGAATGTTGAGAATCTTAAAAACTCCAGAAATCCTCTAAAATAAATCGAAGAGGAAAAGGGTTAAGATTCTAAATCAGATGAAACAGTTTGTTTCTACCTAATTCATTGTTTAGGGTCAAGTCTAAAGCTGCAACGTTCAGTTCTCAATATCATACTTCAGTCTTTGAAAATCTTCTCTCACTTCTCTCTTATCACTAGGGCAAAATAGCTGTCCTTATTTATTTATTTAACCTTTCGAAAAAGAGAGTGGAGTGAGGGAAGAGGAAGGGCAGAGAGAAAGAGAGAGAATCTTAAGCAGGCTCATGCCCAGTGCAGAGCCCAACACGGAGCTCCACCCCAGGACCCCAAGATCATGACCTGAGCGAAATCAAGATTCGGAAGCTCAACCAGCTGAGCCACCCAGTCACCCTCCCTCTCTACACCACCCCCTACTCCACCCCCGGACCTTAATGCTTAAACATACCATGCACGAATACCATTTGGATCCCTGACAACTCTCTTTGCACATGCTACAGCTTGAGTGATGTCATCTTTCAGCAAATCTGAAAAAGAGGTGGTGAGGAGTGAAAACAACTGCCATAGAAATTTCATTGTAAGTTAAGATTTAGTCAGCTTTATTCTCTTAGGAGGAGGAAAGAACATTAAAATTATTTCCCAAGAGTCCATTTATCTGTAGATGCTGGGGGAAATTTTTTCTTCATTCCATCCCATTTGGCATGGAACAAAACATTTTGTTTCTCATTTACCAAAGTCATGGGAAGCTCTGGAATTGTTAACTAATGTGACAGAAGGTTCTCTGTTCACTAGGCACTGTAAAAACAAAAACAAAAACAACAAACAAACAAAAAAACCAAACACAGACTAGCAATTTTTAAATCAGAGTCCTACTACCAGAAATCTAGCCTAAAGAAATTATTAAAAAATGTACCCAAAGATGTATGCACAAGACGTTTCATAGCAATGGGGCACCTGGGTGCCTCTCTCACTGTGTCTCCGTCAAATAAATAAATAAAATCTTAAAAAAAAAATCATTCAACAAAAACAAAAAACATCACCACCACCATACATATAAAAAAGGTAAAAATGACAAAGTGTTAACAACTGTTAAAGTATGTGATGAGCACATGGCTATTTTTTATACTAAAGTCCCGAAATTTCTATATGTTTAGGACATCTCAAAATAAAAAGTAAAAACAATTTTTAGAAAAGAGCCACACAACCAAATTATCCCTAAACCTCCCCAAAGAAAGTGGGAGAAACGGCATTGTTTTCAACAAAGCATCAATGTGCTCATTTACGATAAATTAATAGATCATTTTAGAAGCTGGTGTACATTAGAAAACATGAACTTTTATGATATCATCAGCTATTTAATTTCTTAAGGAATTAGGAAAGGAATTTTAAAGAGTTTCTAGGCACTAAAATAAAGTTTTTCTTGGACCCTGATGAATCTTTTAAGACTTGTTCATTTGCACTGAATCTCTATTCTCGTAAGTGTGACTAGATGATTCCTGTGCCGTCAATCATAGTGTCTCTTACCGCTGCACGGTATGCCACAGGCGTTCACAGCTCTGGGCGTTTTGCCATCATTACACCAGTAGCGGCTATTGATCTGAAATATCCCATAATCGGTGCTTTGGCTTCCGGGATTGTAGTTTGTAGCCTTTGTGTTATAACCACTTTCCCATTTGGCTAAACACATCCCTGAAAAAAACGTATTTTTAGTAAGAAACATCAACACCACATTATGTATTTCACAGACCATGATCTGTTCTATTTTGCTATTCTATTTCATTAATGACTTATTGTATAAGTAGAAAGTTGTGTTTTCCTTGTAAAAAAATATATCTATATTTAAGGTTTTATTTTTTTAAGTAATCTCTACACCCAACATGGGGTTTGAACTTAACAACCCCGAGATCAAGAGTTGCATGCTCCACTAACTGAGGCAGCCAGGTGCCCCCAAATATATTTTAACACTTTAGGGAGAATACTTTTGTTAGCAGATCATTTTGCAATACTGATGAACTAGATAACTTACTTTTAAAATATTAAAATAGGGGCACCTGGATGACTCAGTCAGGTAAGGGTCTGCCTTCGGCTCAGGTCATGATCCTGGGGTCCTGGGTTTGAGCCCCACGTCGGCTCCCTGCTCAGCAGGGAGTCTGCTTCTCCCTCTGCCCTTTACTGCATTCCTGCTCTCCCTCTCTCTCTTTCTCAAATAAATAAGTAAAATCTTCTTAAAAAAAAATAAAATAGCTGTTTCTTCCATTGCCATTACCCTTCCCCTGCTCCCATCCCTCAGGCAAGATTTAGCCTAGAATGGAAAAATCAACAGAGTTGTTGAGTGGATTTTATAATTAATAGTAGATACATACACACGCTGATGGAAACATGCTTTTTATTAGGAAAAATAAGAATTTTCTGGGAGAAATAAATTTTCTTAAGATATCTAAAGGTGAATATGGTTATCAAATCAAGAATCTAAAAAACGAGAGATATAAATAGGAAAGACTATTTCATCCATCCATCCACTCGTTCATTCAAAAGTAGTTGTTGAGGGGCGCCTGGGTGGCTCAGTGGGTTAAGCCGCTGCCTTCGGCTCAGGTCATGATCTCAGGGTCCTGGGATCGAGTCCCGCATCGGGCTCTCTGCTCAGCGGAGAACCTGCTTCCTCCTCTATCTCTCTCTCTACCTGCCTCTCTGCTTACTTGTGATCTCTCTGTGAAATAAATAAATAAAATCTTAAAAAAAAAAAAAGTAGTTATTGAGAGGAAATTTTTGAATTCAACCTGGAAAATACGGTGATCACATTGACAAATATGAACTAAAATATACAGTAACTTTTGCTCAGACATATCTTGAATTATGTGGAAGAGAGTGAAAAATAGTTAATAAACTATATTGAATAAGAATAATAGGGACTCCTGAGTGACTCAGTTGGTTAATCATCTGCCTTTGGCTCAAGTCATGATCCCAGGGTCCTGGGATGCAGTCCACATCGGGCTCCTTGCTCAGCAGGGAGCCTGCTTCTCCCTCTGCCTGCTGCTCCCCCTGCTTGTGCTCTCTGCCAAATAAATAAATAAAATCATTAAAAAAAAAAGAATAATAAAAGATCATTACAAGCTGCATTTCAGGGATCCTTATATAAACAGTAATTGAAGGGGAAATAGTTTCCAACTGCCCTTGCACTGAGAATTCAACATAGGATTGCTGCTAAAAATCCAATGTCACGGCAGAGAAAAATATTCGTTGCTCTAGACTCATTACCCTCGGAACCAAGTTCCAAACAGGAAATGCCTGTCGTCAAGTACCAAGGACTTGATAGATATTCCAGGAGCTCAGACAGACCTTCCAGTCAGCCCACATGGGCCACGGAGTCTGAGGCAACTGACAAATTTTGCAGCACGAGAAGAGCACAAGGGGTCCTGCTGTCCTTAGAATGGCAGAGGCTTTTGCCCTCCCTTGCCTTCATCCCTTCATCTGGTGTATCTGATTCTAAAGAAACAAGTTGATATTTTCACCACTGTAAGTATACAGACCCTCAGAAGAAATAAAAGAAGTCCATTTACTCAAAGCCTCTTTACTACTATTCATCCTCTATCTGTCCCACACCTGGCTAACCATTTGCAAGTAGGAAGAAGTTAACTTACAGTTGGCCAGGTTGACACCTCTATAGCCATCCAGCCCAAGTCTTTTCAGAGTCCTGGCCAGCTCACACCTTTCAAAGATCTTGCCCTGGACGGTGACGGAAAGGAAGAGAATCCCGAGAAGAAGGAGAGCCTTCATGTTGACTGGGAACCCAGACCTCCGGGCTGACCAGGGAGAGCAGTCCTCGGTATTTAACGTCTTTTAACTTCCTTTTTCTCCTGGTGGTTTGGGGGTTCCACCCTTTGGGAGATGTGAAAAACAGGAACTCTTTTTGGTTCACTGACATTAAAAGTTCTTTTTTTTTTTTTTTTTTTTTTTTTTTTACATTTGAAAAGAGCTATTCTGATGTTCTAAGAATTAACCTACAGGAAACTGATGAAATGGCATTGTTTAAAGACCTGGCTCAGGAAGAAATGGGAAGTAGGACGGTTTCCAAACCAGGAACTGTCTCCTATTTTATTATGAATTTGAACAAATACAAAGAAAAAATAAAATCCCGAATGAACATTTCACACAACAGAAAAAGAGCTCCAATTTTTGATTTTGCATTCACTATGTTGTCTTTATCTTTTTCACTTAAAATTATTTTCTATACTCTTTCCCCAAAAGCACATAACATGTTGCCTATGATTTTAATGGGTATAGATATAGCATACCATATTGCTCAGCCATACTTCCACTCTAAGTTTTTTGTTGCTATTATCCATTTTGCTTATAAATCAATGTTTGACTGTTTCAGATATGCCTCATGGCTTTTTGACAACTTTTTAACAGTGCCTAATCTTACATTGTGATCTTAGAATATAAGGGGTCGTTATAAAGCAAGGGAATTTTATAATCAAACCTTAAGAAGAGTAGCAGAATATGGCACCTGAAAATCTCCCCTTTTGGCATCAGGATTATTTTGAACTGAAGGCAAATGAGAAGAAGCAGATCCAGGAGAGCTCTCTGCCCTTCCCCTATATACCTGAAAACAGAACTTAGCTTTGTACAGTCATTAATCACTGACAACCCTACAGGCTTATCAGCCCCAATAAAGCACTGCAGGATGTCATATAACAAATTTTACACACTAGCTGTTATCTTCCAGTGCCCACTATTTATCTTCCCACGGTTTGTGGCCCTTGGAAGACTAAAACTCTTTTCCGCTGTCTTGTCATTCTTCTAAAAATATATTGTTTTTTGGTTAAGATGGTATGTAAGCCCAAATTTTAGCCACCTCTTTGAGTTACTCATGCCTGCATTTCTCTCAAATATATATATGAAATACCCATGTTCATAAACTGATTTTAATTCTTGCTAATCTGCCTCTTGTTACAGAGCCCCAGCTGAAACCCTAAAAGAGTAGAAGGACAAAGAATTTCCTCCTCCTGTCATTTCTAGTGATGAGGATGGGAGAGTAGAAGGCTGGAAAACGCTTCTCTCCACAAAGACTGCAGTTGACTTGTGGGGTAACTGACAGCAGACCAGCAGAAGGTACGAGTTCTTACCACGTGAGCCTTCCAGATCTCTGACTATAGTTTCCAGCCAAGAGAAGAGTGTAAAACTTTCTCCTTGTCCCTTCCTTTCCAAATTCATCATGGGAGGAGAATAACATTTCTAAAAACAGGTCTCGAATCATGACACTCGTAAACTTAGCTTTGGGTACCTACAGGTTATTGATTCTTCGCCTCCCCCAAATGGCCATGTTTTCCTTTGCCTGCCTTCGGTATTATTTGTCATAAGGATGAAAATAGTAAGATGAGAGTCTTCGTTTGTCTTGTTTCAGGTACTGAGAACCTGGCTTTGTAACTAATGAGAATATTCTCTGGTCTCTTCCACTTGCACAGTGGGAGTGAGAGGTAAAGGGAGTGCACTGTGTCAGGCTGACAAGGGGTCGCGGGCTAGGGGGTTGTTGCTATCTCTGTTTTCCTTTCCTCTTTTGCGCTGGGAAAATTCCTATTCCGGTGTCACTTTCTGGTAACAAAAATTAGTGGGTCTGTGAATTAAAGTGTCTCCTTTGTAGGAGACAGAACTTTCTTGTCCACCTGTGACAGTGAAGATCTTTGCTTTCTTAAGCCATCTTGGGAGGCTTTGCATCTCAAGAGGGCACCCTCATTTGCACTCTCCCTCTGTCCACGGTTAAGCCACAAAAGTCTTACTGGTGTGGAGTCACAGTTGAAGTAGATATGCCTTTGAAGATTTAGACTTCTATTTCTAAAAGGATTTTTAAGAGAAGTCTCATTCTAAACAAATGTCTTATTAATACCTATAGGAAGATCAGGAAAGAGAGAAAGAAGGAAAGAAAGAAAGGAAGAAGAAAGAAGGAAGGAAAGAAAGAAAAGGGAAGAAAGAAATAGATACAGAAGAAAACCTTGGCTAGTATGATGGGGGAAAAACCCACACACCTCCTTAACTAGATTAAGAGGTAGAGATCAGACTCAGAGCAAGTGTTAAAAACTGCAAATGACACTCAAGCAGGTATGGAACATGAAAATACTGATAGCCAAGAATTAGATTTGACAAAAGTACATAAGCCTTCTGCCCAAGAAGGCTTGGTTTATTGTTCCTTACTCTGTAAGCAGATCCCATAAGGTCTAGGCCTTCCCATATTTCTGGCCTCCACTGCAGGAAAAAAAAAAAAAAAAAAAACATTGGACTGTCCTCCCCTTAATAAAGAAAGAAAAACTTCATAGTAATGACCCTCAGTTTTTGATGGTAGGCAAATATACCCCTGATTTCCTTCTTAGATAAACCCCATATCCTTTCTCAGTCCCTTGGAAATATTCATGTTACCATGTCTTTGAAATGTAAGTATCCACGGAGAAAATTTGTTAAAGCAACTCCTGAGACTGGAAAAATAGGTTTTTAAAAAACAATCTGCTACTTGATATTTCTATAGGCTCCTGGCCCAAAATTTAGTCCACAGCCTCCGTAGAATTATCTATTAGAGACAAACAAAAATCTTAAAAGTTTTCTCCACAAATATTGGTAAAATCTTTAGCTATCTAAGCAGTTAAACATAACTTATTCCATTTGCCAGAAACACTGTTTAGATCGAACTATTTTTTTATAAGTTAAATGAGTTTCGTATTATTGTACTTGATATGCGGCTAAAATTTTTAAATGAAAGCTACAAGATCTCTGCATCTGTCTGGATGTCTATGTGTGGCAATGTATGCATGTCACATAATATATGGTATTTTTCTCCCTCTGGATGGTAGTCCTAAAAACTAACTTGTGGAAGAGTTCTATTAACTGGCTTAAAGAAAATATAAGCACTAAAACAAATGAATAAATATGTATATATATACTTACATAAATTAAGGCTAGTTAACTTAGCTTATGCCATCTGTATTAATTATTTGAGATTATAAAATTATAAATTCAACCAAAGAACAAAATGTACAATAAAAAATGATTCTCTGGGATGCCTGGGTGGCTCAGTCGGTTAAGTGTCTGTGTCTGCTTTTGGCTCAGGTCATGATCCCAGGGTCTTGGAATTGAGTCCCACGTTGGGCTCTTTGCTCAGAGGGAGTCTGCTTCTCTCTCTGCCTGCCGTTCCCCTGCTTGTGCTCTCTCTTTCTCTCTCTGACAAATAAATAAATAAAATCTTTTAAAAAAGGGGGGGGAGAATATTATATCTATGTAACAAGAGAGGATATATAGTAATGAAATAATCAGATAATTTAAAAAGAGGAACCCTTGAGATTTAAAAATATGACCACATGGGGCACCTAGGTGACTCAATAGGTTAAGTATCCTACTCTTGATTTTGGCTCAGGTCATGATCTCAGGGTTGTGAGATCAAGCCCCTCCTTGGGCTCCACGCTCAGCAGAGTCTTCTTGAGAATTCTCTCCCCTTCCTTCTGCCCTTCCCCTTCCAAGCATGTGTACTCTTTCTCTCAAATAAATAAATACTTTTAAAAAATGACCACATTAATAAAACATTTAATAGAAAAATTATGAGATATATTTGAGAAATATTATTAGAAATAGAATAAAAAGACTGAGATGAAAAACAGGAGAGAAAAGATGAGAAAATTAGAGAATGAAGAAATCAAACATCCAATTAATAGGAATTCTTTAAAGGAATTAAAGAAGAAAAAAGTATAAAATAGGGCACATGGGTGGCTCAGTCAGTTAAGCAGCTGCCTTCAGAGCAGGTCATGATTCTAGGGTCCTGTGATTGAGTCCCACATTGGGGTCCCTGCTCCTTGGGGAACCTGCTTCTCCCTTTCCCTCTGCCTCCTCCTCCCCTACTTGTGTGCTCTCTCTCTGTGTCAAATAAATACAATCTTTAAATATATATATGTATGTATGTGTATATATATATATATATATATATAGTTGGGTCCCCCCAAAATTGGGTACCCCAATAATGGGTCCGTGATTAAAGGAGCCAGACTGATACAAAGCGAAGGTCAAGCAAAACTTTTATTTCGCGCCAAGCATCAGGAATCAGACTGACCATCAAACAGAGCAGTCGGGGCCGCCCCTACAGAGAGGACGACCCCTCCCTGCTTTCCAGACTAACTTTTATAGAGCAAAGGCCATGTGGTTGGGCCTGGCCACACACAGGTGGCCAATGAGATTGTAACACACACACAGGGAACTCCACAGTGATGCTAGGTGACCAATTGAATTACAATTTACCCTAGTAAACATTTGAACCAGCCTATCACCTAGTTCAGAATTGGCCCCCAAAAGGTGCCCAAAGGGAGGGGCCCATACTCCTTGGTAGCTAGGAGACAGTATGCGCCCCCACTGATTGAATACCGCCACCTGGCCTGACCCACCCTTGTATTTGGACTTTGTTACCTGGGACTGGTTTCCTGGACTTGATTTTAAGTAAGTTCCCCTGGGGGGGGCAAGGCTAATTTAAGTTTTATATATATATGGATACCTGGGTGGCTCAGTGGGTTAAGCCTCTGCTTTCGGCTCAGGTCATGGCCTCAGGCTCCTGGGATTGAGCCCAGCATTGGGCTCTCTGCTCAGCGGGGAGCCTGCTTCCCCCTCTCTCTCTGCCTGCTGCTCTGCCTACTTGTGATCTCTCTCTTTCTCTCTCTCTGTCAAATAAATAAATAAAATCTTAAAAAATATGTATACCTATATACAATAAATGTGCGAAGCTGAGGGACACAGATATCCACATCAAAAGGCAACCAAGTGCTTGACATAGTGGTGTGTAATAAAATTTATACCAGTACACATCCTCATGAAATTTCAGAACAACAGGGATAAAGAGAAAATTTTAATACTTAAGGGCAGTGATCTTCAACCTATAGTCCTACAGGCAGTCAAATCATCTAGCGTGAGAGGAGGAAAAGACCCCCAAACATTCTCAGATGTGTTAGGAAAGAGCAAATAAGAAAAAAGATGTGGGATCTAGGAAACAGGGATCTAATATAGGAGAGATATGAAGGAAGGTACAAGACAAAAGAAGTGTTGTCCAGTCCAACAACAACAGCCTTGCGACTGGTTAAAGAGAAGCCATTTCAGATTATAGCAAGAGCGTGAAATGCTCCAGGAGTGTGGACTCCAGGGGGCAACCACACTCAGAGATGGCTTGGAATGTCTGAACCTATTGAAGGGAGTTTAACAACTTAGTCTGAGATTTTGGGTAATGATTTAATACATGAATAAGTACATGAAAAACCAAGCAAACAGAAAAACAAAGCAATTGTTAATACTAAGAAAAACAAAACACTTAAAAATGGAAACAAAACCAAATTAGTACCATATTATAGTCATCTGCAAGTGTTGGTGCTTGCTTGTAAAGAAGAACAACAAGGGAAGGGAAGAGGGGTGCCTGGGAGGCTCAGTTGGTTAAATGACTGCCTTTGGTCTCAGGGTCCTGGGATGGTGCCTCACATCAGGCTCTCTGCTCAGCGAAGAGTCTGCTTCTCCCTCTCTTTCTCTCTCTCTCTCTCAAATAAATAAAATCTTAAAAAACAACAACAACAGGGCGCCTGGGTGGCTCAGTGGGTTAAGCCTCTGCCTTCGGCTCAGGTCATGATCCCAGGGTCCTGGGATCGAGCCCCGAATCGGGCTCCCTGCTCAGCGGGGAGCCTGCTTCCTCCTCTCTCTCTCTGCCTGCCTCTCTGCCTACTTGTGATCTCTGTTTGTCAAATAAATAAATAAAATCTTTAAACAACAACAACAACAAGGGAAGGGAGAGTTGAGAGAGACCTAAATCTTTATCTTCTGTGGTGGAGATAAAGAGAAAATGTTTATGATTGAAAATCAAGAAATAGTAGAATAAACATGCTCTTGAGATATATGGCAGTAAATGCTAGAAAAAATAAATAGCTAAAGAAGTTAAAAAGAGATTACCCTAGTGTTGGGTATTAGATGAGAAAGATTAGGGTAATTTTTCATTGAAGTTGATTAATTAATTCAATTAATTTCATTAAGTTTTCATTAAATTTATAACATTTAATTTTACTCTAAAAATAAACACATATATTTTGTGATGAAAAAGTGAAATTTAAAAA